TTTTTAAAAAAAAAAACAACGCCCTGGGGGCGGGGGATTGGGCTGGATCCCCAACCTGTACATAGATCAACACCCCAAAACGGGCCTAAATATCAAACAACTACAGTCAACATAGTCTTACAATCAGTTGTATGATTGTGCTAGGTTAGTTGTCTGATGGTTCTAGGTTAGTTCTATGATTGTGCTAGATTAGTTTTCTGATTGTGCTAGGTTAGTTGTCTGATTGTGATAGGTTAGTTGTCTGACGGTGCTATGTTAGTAGTTGCTAGGTTAGTTATCTAATGGTGTTAGGTTAGTTGTATGATTTTGCTAGTTTAGTTGGCTGATAGTGCTAGGTTAGTTGTTTGTAGTTGCAACTACATGATGAAAATTTGCAGGGTCACATAGCAAAACTTTGAAAGGTTATAACTTTGCGTAGAAAGCTCCGTTCTGGACAAATTATATTTTTTGATTTGGGGTAGCTCGACGAAGTCTACGCAGCTGCAAACGGTTGAAGGCGGTTTGACCGCCCGAATTTTAAAAAAAAATGCCTTTTTCTTGCTTTGATTTCATTTTTAAGAAAAAAAATACGTTTTTTTGTATTTTTAAACCTTTATAACTCTCCAATCGAGACTCATTTGTTGAAATTTTTTTTCATAACAATGCTCTCAACCTCTATTTTATGTACCAATAGGAAAAAATTAAAAAATGCATAGTCTCTGCAGTTGCTAGGTTAGTTGTCTGATGCTGCTAGGTTAGTTGTCTGATTGTGCTAGGTTAGTTGTCTGATTGTGCTAGGTAAGACATTCTTAAAGTGAGGACTTGAGGCTCATTTGTAGCCACAAGATTTGGTACATAATGTGTGGATTTAATCTTTTCTTTTTATTATTTTAATTATTTAAATATTATTTTGACCCGTTGACTTCCGGCGTTGAACGTTGACTCTGTCGTTGACTTTCGGCGAAAATCTGTTGACTTCCGACGTTGATCGTTAACTTCCGGCATTGACCGTTGACAACCAAACTTGCAATTAAATATAAATAACCTAGCATGCTAGGTTATTTGTCTGATGATGCCAGTTTTTTTTTTTAAAAAAAAAATGCCCCGAAGAGCGGGGGATTGGGCTGGATCCCCAACCTGTACATAGATCAAGACCCCAAAGCGGGCCCAAAAAATCAAACAACTACAGTCAACATAGTCTCCTAGTCAAAACAGAAGCGAAAACAGAAAAAGAAAAGGAAAAAGGAAAAAGAAAATAATACAAGGTCTGTCATCGGGCTAACAGATGCCCGGAATAAATGTATGATCTAATGATAAAAAATAACCAATCTACTAAAAGCGGAAAGATGGGTATCCAAGCTGGTCCATCCGTACCAGCGTGAGAAGGCGGAGTGGATCAGTGTCGGCCTTATACGTGTGTAGGTCAAAGGTGGTGACGCCAAGGCTGGCAAGGTAGTCAGCATGTCTGGTCCCCTCACGGAAAAAGTGCGTAATCCTGTGATGGACAGACCGCAGAAGTGCTCTAATGCGCATAAGCGGGTGTTGAATATGCCACGAGTCCTGGTGGCCCGAGGTCAGGATGGTGATGACAGCCGCAGCGTCCAGCTCGATCCAAATATGACTAGAGAAGTGGGCAGCAATCTGAAGGCCAATTTGTAATGCCTGAATCTCTGCGTCGTACATGGGGGAGGCCTGAAGGGACGTGTGGAAGGCGGTGATGAGGGCGCTGCTGTGGTCCCGGATCAACCCACCTCCTCCGGCAACTCCAGTCTGGCGATCGAAAGAACCATCAGTGTTCAGCTTGACCCAAGGAGATTCGGGTCGAAGCCAAACAACAGCTCTGGGCCGAGGGGGCCGGACAGGCGCAGTGGGAGCCAACATGTAGCGGTGTGGTGGCGTGCAACCTGTCCAGTCACGGGCAATGAGCCTGCCCTAAGATGTGAGGAGTGAAAGATATCTCTCTACCTGCAAAACAATGTGAGAAAGCAAAAAAGTAATATCCCTATGCTTCACACTATTCCTTTCCGTCCAGGTGAACCAAAGGATCAAACAGGGAATGAGGAAGCCCATGTGTCTAAGGTGTGTGCTATGTGAGAAAAAAACTCAGGAGCTCAAAGAAATTGTCTATGGAGAGTAGCGATATATGTGTCCATGTGGCAAAATGCTCCCACACTCTCCTCACAATCTCACTCTCTAGAAAACGTTGGGTAAAGGTCTCGGTCTCATGGCGTCCTGTCTCAGAACAACACACACACACCAGGAGGGGAAGGAGATCCCCCTCGTATGTAAAACAGTGTCCACGGGTATCCCGCACAATAGGAGGCGCCAAAGTAATACCAAAATGGTAGGGTGAAAAGATCGCTCCAGATGGCACCGAAGAAAAGAGTAGGTCGATCTCTCAGCCTGATCTGCTCCCAAGCCGAGGTAGTAGAAAACACAGCCGATGATGTAAGTCTCAACCTCATGCCATCCGAACCGTCCCCTGAGATGGGTATCTGCTGGATCTGATCTAATAAATGCTCGCTAAAACCCGCCCAAGGCCCAACTCCCTATCAAGGTTCCCCCTATCCCACAACCCGTCCTTCCAAAGGTCGCTCACAAGCAAGAAGGGGGAATGCGACACCGGCCTATCCCTAGACAACGACCTATCACCTATCCACAACTCATCCCAAAAACTAACCTCGTCATCACCCAAAACCCAAAAGAT